TTGAGAGGATAGAGAATAACCTCATATCTAGTTTCTCCTATTATTAACACCATACATTTGTAGCAATGAAACATTTATTATTAACCAAAGTCCATGATTAAGATTTGTTTAGGTTTATCTTATATCTTTTTCTGAATTATGATTCCATCTAAGAATCTGGATGAATCCATTAAGGAACCACATTGTCATGATTCCTCAATCTGCCCTAGGCTGGGATAGTTTCTCAACCTTTCCTTGTTTATTTTATTTTATTTTATCTTAATACGAGGGTACACATTTTTAGGCTACATTGTTCTTACTTTCCAGGTAAAGTCCAAGTTGTAGTTAAGCCCTTCACCGGACTTTCCTTGTTTTCGATGACCCTGATGGTTTGGAGGATTACTGGGGTTTTTGGTAGGATGCCCCTCTACTGGGATTTATCTCATGTTTTTCTTATGATTAGACGATGATCGTGGGAGTTAAGACTACAGAGATAGAGAAACATTTTCATCACATCATACTAAGAGTACACACTCTCCACATGACTGATAGTTGTTGATGTTGACCTGGATAACCTGGCTGAGTGTTTGCTGGGTTTTTCTATGTTAAATTATTCTCCCTCACCTCATTTCCATACTGTACTCTTTGGATGGGAGTTACTAGGTACAGCCCACAGTTTAGAATAGAGATTTGTGCTCCCCCTTCTTTGAGAGCAGCATGTCTATATAAGTTATTTGGAATTCTTCACAGAGGATGTTTGTCTCTTCACTCTCATTTGTTAATTTGCTGAGCTATTTATGTCAGTGCGGACTCATTAACATTTATTTTATACTTTGGGTTATGATGCAAAACATAATTCTCTGGCTCAAACTGTTTCAGTTTTGGCTAAAGGGCGTCTTCAAGTAGCTCCTGTGTCTTTTTGAAATATACCCCATCAATGTAGCTTCCCTTTTGTTTTTCTAGCAATTTCTTACTTTAAGGTACTACACGATGTTTCATTCTTATTTTGTATTTTTCCTGCCCCAGTCCTAGACTCAATCATTTCTCCAAGAAGCTTTGCTTCCTGATACTCAGAAATGACATTTGAAACCAAGATCTGGACACTGGGTGCGCGTGCTCCTTGTCTTTGCTTCTAGGCCACACATATTCTAAATATCACATTTTTAACACCTACATACACACAATCACGATACAACTGCATGAATAGTAAAACAATTATAGATTTACTAATAATATCAAATCATGGTATTGTAGGAGACTGTGGTCCTATACCAGAATCCACATGCAAAACTTTGTACATGATGGTTTTCTAAGGGTAGTGCTGAGATTGACTCAGTAGAGACAATGCCAAAAGTCTAAATTCAAGGCAGGGCGAATACCCTCTTTCCGTCATAAGCCATAAAAAAGCATAGTGGATTTAGAACGAGGGCATCAAAATTCTGGATCCAGCTCTGTATGTGGCAAATGGATTCTGTCTGGGCTTTAATTTTCATTGATATAAAGTTGGTAGCACTAGATTAAACAACGGCTGGGGACCTACCCAGTTCTGGCATAACTTTCAATTGTTTTACATTGAGAGAATGTAATTGGCTCCACCCACCTTTGTACATAGGCCCAATATTCCAGAAAGTCTAAGCCAGTGGGGTGATAGGTGGCAAGGAGGTTACTGCTGATAAATACCAGTCATACAACCAAGCCTGAGAAACTCTAGATCTTTCCTAAAGATTGCAGATCAAGAAAGTACAAGAAACACTGACGGAAACAATCTTTTATTGCTTTCAAGTGTTTTCAGATAGATCAAGACTTTTTCTTTCTTGTTTTCTCTCTCTCTCTCTTTTTATTTTTGGTAAGGGCAAACTCCTCATTTGTTATTTCCTCTGACTTAATGCAGTGACGGCTGTGTTGCCTCTAAGCTTATTACCAGGAATTTCTTAAGCTTTTCTTATCTTTTTTATGTATGTGTGTGTGCGCGTGCATGCGCACGCATTTGTGACTGTTATGACATATCTTTCACAGCTACATGCATCCCAGTAGCTTAAAAATTATCCAGTGTACAAATGTCATCTCCTCCCTACCATTGACCGGGACTGTTTCCAAAAACAAATAGAGAAAAAAAAAAAAAAAAACAACTATAGGGCAGAAAAGACACTCAGGAACTGTCTAGTCTGATTATAAATGCTGGAGAGCAAAAGTACAAGGTCTTAGAACCTGTCTCCTATGACTTTTAATGTTTAAAATCTTCAATTGGTTCTTGGACCCACGCAGCAGAATCCTAGACTTTGGTCTACAACTGGTTAAAAATTGATAGAGGTGAGGATTCTGGGACAGCCTTCTTTACCTAGAAGTTTACATTTTAACCCCTTCCCTCAGCTCAGGCACACACAGAATAGACACAGCTCCTTTCCATCTCCCCCACGGAAAAGTTAAGTAAATATGTACTTAGATGTAAAGGTATAGAACTTGGAGCAGACAGGGAGCCTGCACATCCTCGGGGTTACCCTTCACACCGTTGTTGAGGGAACGGCGTCCTCACAAGTGGCTTTGCTCAGTGTCCCATAAGGCATTCGAGGCAGATCTGTAATTAGAAACCAAGGTTTTTTTTGGCAACAAACTCAGTTTTCTCCTTCTCCCTACACTGTGCCCCCGCAGTTACATTTTCGTGTGTGTGTCCCTGTATGTACACAGGTTACATAGACACGGACCTGTAGGAAACCTGCACCGAGTGTCTGTCCTCTGACCTCAGGGAACAGTTTAATGACTCGAATTTCAGGCAGCCGAAAGGGTTCTGCGGGTGGAGGTTGAAATAAACAAGAAAAGCCACTGTGGAGATGTGAATGGAAAAGTACCAAGTCCTCCCTCCCTCCCTCTGCACATTCTTCCGCTCTCCAGCTCTCCCTGCCATCAAGCCAGCGTCAGATAGGCTTCTGCGTGGTCAGGTGTACAGAGGGCGGTGTGGAGAAGAAAGAAAAAAAAGGCAGGCACAACACGCAAATCAAGTTTTTCCACTTCTTGCCTTAGGTAGTAGAGACAGCTATGTACGGCAGCCAGCAGCCTGGCAGGCGGGTGGGCCAGCCACCCGAGTTTACAAACACTCAAGTGCTTTCCTCCCCTCATCCCGCTCAGAGCCCAGCTGCTGCTTTCCCTCATGCTAAGGTTTTATAGAAAGTGAAAACCCTGCTATTCAAAACAGTGATTGAATGCAATAAACAAACGATTGTGTACCCCACCCCCCTCACTTCTCTATTTTAAGCTCCTGGTATTTATTGCCATTTTGAATAAGTGAGAAAAGTGTGGAAAATTAGGGTTTGGGGGGTGGGGGGAATCTGAGCCAGGCAGAAAAGTTTTTCTAAGTGGGGAAAAAAAAATCTCAGAATAATAAAGTCTAAAAAGGCAGCATATGGATCAAAATGATGATACTTCTTTTTTAGAAGGTGGTGGCTAGAAATCATCTTTTTTTTTAATGTCTCAAAACTTTCTACTCAATTTTGTCAAAACATATCAAGAAACTCCTTCCTTTCTCCAAGGATATTATAGAGAGCTTGTTTACAATAATGCTAAATGAAGGATTTGAAATAAAACAAACAGGCAACTTTCAACAAGTTAGATAGATAACATCTCCCATGCCTATTAAAAGTAGTGCCCAGTACAGCAGCATAGGTGACAAGCACAAACAAACCCAAGTGACCACCAAATCGCTGATACTCATCGTGACTCAGAATTATTTCTGAGAACCAGTTTACAGCTTTCAGAGTCCAAAGCAGCCTTGCCTTCCTCAATTCTGCATGAAAAGAAAATACCCACCTCCAAACCCAAGTTGTCAGGTCACCCTGATCCTCTAAAATGACACTGGACCATCAAACCCTGCAGACCCATTTTCAGTTGTGTTCCTGGGTTCTCTTGCGTGAGGGGCCAGCCTGTCCTCTTGAAAGAAGAAAGCCCAGAGGAGTTAGTTCAGTGATTATTCTACAAAATTCCTTCATTTCTAAAATCTCTAATCCTGTGATGTGATACTTCAAAGAACTACTAAAGTACCAGAGGTTCCTGACAAGTGAAACTAACTTCCTGTTTCAAGTCCCCTTAGAAAGAGGACAGGATAGCTTCTATTTACTCAGTGACTATGATCAGGGACCTATTCCTGTGCCTAGTCCACAGGGCAAGGAGGCTGGCCTGGTCAGCTATTCTGAGTATTCACAACCAGTAACCATGAAATCATGGGACCAGTTTCTACATAGTACCCCCAAGTCTGCAGCAATCATTCATAGGACCCGGGCTATGGAACCACTCTTTAGAGCTTCTTAAGAATGATTTAAAATAATTTGAATATATTCAAGCCAGCCCTTTCTTTAATACCATAACAGAGAGATGCTGGAGTGAAGGAGGCCCAAGTAATGATGCCCAACCTGGATACTAAAGGGGGTGAGATCAAGAATGAGAAAAAGAAGGACATTCTGGAAGAAATGTAATTGTTATAAAATTTGATAGTTACTTTCCTAAGAAGTAAAAAGCGATTAAAAGGTGGGTGCACAATTTTCCTCACCATTTATTCAGTTGAGAGAAAAAGAGACTCACCTAAAATTAAGTGTCTATCTTTAGAGTATTTTCAATAATCCCCCACCCCCCCCGCCCCCCGTTTCTAATGGGGCTCCTTCTATTCTGGTCAATTTCTTTTGATGTAAACACACTGATTTTGCAAAAAGAAGTAGAAATGTGAGACTCTGGCACTTGGTCCCAGAAATAATGCACTGAGAAGATTTGAGGTCCCTGATGATGGAGTTAATTATCTATAAAGCAGTCCTGGTGGGTTCCCTCGCTCCGAGCGGAGAATTAAAGAGGACTGGGGTATGAGGATAGTGAATCCCTTCCCAGCCCCCACTCTGGCTGTTTCAACTGACTGAAGGAGCACTTTCCCTTTGCTCTGCAGCGCCCCCATGGGGCTAAGAGTGGCGTGGCAAAGGGAACTCAGGAGGGACGAGCTGTGCATTTGGGGGGGGGGAGTGTATTAGGCAGGATGGCGGCTTTGACCAAAAACAGAGCCCCAAAATTATCAAAGTCATCCTATCATAGGACCAATAACAGGAAAGAGTCATAAAATTCACATTCCAAACCATACAGCCATATCTAAGAAACTCTAAGGCGCTATTTGCTCCTAAAAGAACAAAAATCACACATACACATACACACAAAAAATCACTTCAGCAAAGTCAGGGCGTCATTTTGGATCCGGTGGGATTAAATTAAAACTCTTTGAAACCAAGGGAGAAGAAGACTAATAAAAAAGCAAATTGTCTGCTTTCTGGCAGAATAAATTCCAACTTGACAATATAATGTGTCTTTGGGGGTAACACGTTCAACAACAGTGACAGGATTAGGCCTATGTATATTTTTCAAAAATTCTTCACGAGACAGGCTTTTCTGAAGCGGCTGCAAGTAATCCATCTGTCAATAAGTATTAAAATATTCAGATTTCACAGGGACAGACACTCCGGCAGATTTCCTAAGCTTTAGGCCTTGTGGAAAATAATGAATCCCCATGTACCTTCCCTGGTTTAAAAGGATGTGTGTATGTGGGGCAGGGGGAGGGGGTCACGTGGACAACAGCATCTTCAGTAATAAATGAAACTTCTTACGGGACCGTCAGTGAAAGAGATCTACATATCCCAGCAAACAGCCAACAATCTTTCATAGCCCGGTTCACTTCTCCAATATAAACCCAAATCTGGGGTTTAGAGAGGTAGATTATTTTGGGAGATATCTTTACTAGAAATTAATATGTGAAGAGATTTTGCGGAATCTTGAAGCATTCATCTGTAATTTAATGAGTCACTTGAAGGACTCTCTAGCCAAGGCTCAGAACAGCCTGACCTTTGAAAGCTGCTTCTGGTCCAAACATTTTGGGTTAATTCTTGAGGAATCCGAAATATTATTTTCCCCTCACACCCTTCCTTTAAGAGACAGACATAAAAGAAACAAGAGTCTCCCTCATTCAGGGATGAGTAGGAGGGGAAAAAACCCCAACCAACATTTTAATAGGGAAACTGGCAGTTCTGAACAAACAAACTAGGGCCCACAATGAAATGATTCTGCCCAGCATTTGCCTTTAAAAAGAGAGAAAGAAAGAAATAGAGAAAGATTTCCCTCTTTTCCTCCCCCCTCCCCAACTCAGCTTGAAAGCTAAGAGGACTGTGCTGCGTGCAGAGTAGTTGTAGCACAGTCTGTTCTAAATACACACAGTATCTGTGATACGGGCACGGCAGGCCTTTAGCATTCTCTCCGGCTGATCTATTAAACACAAACTGAAAAGATTTTTTTTACAACGACCTTGAAATGAGCCTCGAAAAAGAAAATCAGACCTTAAGAAGAAGCAAAACACAAACACGTATTTGGCTCACAGGATTTTGTAGCACACACACATACACATACCAAAGCGCACACACACGTTTCTTGCAACAAGAAATGTCCTAAGAGTGAACAATAACAGAAACAGTAAACCCACCACTTGCTGTCCTGGAAAGAAACAAGCCAAACCAAAACAAATCCTTTGAACATTTCTCCCGAGTGTAGGAGAAGCTCACTTCAGTAAAAGTCCAAGGGGAAAAACAAAATTGCACCAAGAGGAAAAAAAAAAAAAAGTGAGGGCTGGGATTGTTACATACAACAAAAATTCAAGCTTCTTTCAACAGTACTGGTATTGAAATAATACATCTTCTCTGAAACTCTTGAGAAAAATAGGGAAAGAAAACACACAAAGTCCAACCGATGCCGGATCTTAAGATTTACGTAACACAACAAACTTGCAATAGGCAAACATCAGAAGCAAAAATCCGAAAATTATCAAAATACAGCAACCCCAAATCCCAAGTCACCACGCCAAAAAGAATCAAACCCCAAGACTAAACAAAACCAAAAAACCTCGTCCCAAATAAAAATAAAAGCAAATGAACCCACCGAAACGGCTTGGCAAATATTTTTCTCGTGGTGCCTAATATTCTAGCTGGAAAGAGCTGTGGTGTTTATTATTTTTTTTTTCTCTTACTCGCCTCTGTAAACCTGCTACATATAACATATTTTTTTCCCCAATGGTTCAAACCTCTCGCTCCTTTTTGTGTATTTCGCTCGAGGAGCTGAGTTTATGGGTAAGAGAGGAGGAATTAGCCCCAGACCCCAGGAAAGCAAAGCGCACTCCCCCTCTTATGTCACGGAATAGCAAATTAGTTCTCAGAATTCCAGAGGCCGAGCTCTGCTACAGCAAAGACGCCGACGTCACAGAAGGGGCGCCCACGTGACTGTGGCGGAGCAGGCCGTACCACAATCGCGGACCCGGGGAGGGAGGGCCGCCTTCTGGGCCCTCGAACGCAGAAAAAGAATCTCGAAATATAAGACTGTCAGACTGTGAGGACCTCGATATATGTTGGATAGTGAACAAATATCGTGGCTTTGAGGCCTTTTTATGGTGTAGGGGAGGTAAAAATCTCAGAGAGCTGACACCGAGTCCTCCCCTGCCATGTAGCAATGGTAAAGTCCTCAGCTCAAATTCCGAGAATTGAGCTCTGTTGATTCTTAGAACTGGGGTTCTTAGAAGTGGTGATGCAAGAAGTTTCTAGGAAAGGCCGGACACCAGGTGATTATTGCTGTTGCTGCTGCCGCTGCTGCTGCTGCTGCTGCCGCCGCCGCCGCCGCCGCTGTTGCCGCTGGTGCCGCTGCCGCCGCCGCTGCTCATGATCATTATTTTACCTTTTAATTCTTTTTTTTTCCGCTCTTGCCAAATGCTTTGGCTCCAAGTTTTCTATGTGTATCTATTAATATAAATGTATATATTTATTTATTCTAGCTGTCAGGTGTTAAAATAAATGCCGAAGATTAGTCCCATGTCTCTCCCACTCTAGGATGTAGATTTTTATATATTTATTATTATTATTATTATTTTTGTTGTCTTTGAGTGAATCGGCCGGTTTGGGGAGGCTTTGCCACCCTCCCTTGCGTTGTTTTGGTTTTTGAAAAGGAGGTGGAGGAGAGGAAGGAGGGGAGTTAGGGGGCGGCCGGAGCAGAGAGGACGAGACAGTGTTTGGGGGGTGATCCGGGCAAGTCTGGGGGCTGTCTGGCCCCAGACGGCGGAGAGGACGCGCGCTCGCGCTCTCGCTCTTTCTGCTGCTGCTTGCGTACGGCTTGTGATCTCTCTGGATTCGTGCGGCTGTGTTTTTCCCCTCTTTTCTTGCTTGCAAACTGCTTTCCTTGCTCCTGCCTCCCCTTCCCTCCCTCCTCTTTTTCCTAGCCTCTTCTTCCTTCCCTTCTCTTGCCCTTCTGGGTAACTCCGGGAGGCGAGGAGAGAGGCTGGCCCGCTCGCTCGCCGCGCTGGCTCCCTTCCACCGGCCTCGGTCCTTTAGATTCTCTGCCTGCTAGCCGAGCCGCGATTTGGGAGGAAAAATCCAAGCGAACTCCTCCTTTTTTTTTTTTTTTTAATTTTTTGGGTCATAAAACCAAATGAGATGAAGTATCGTGTCTACTATTTCCTTTCAGAGCCCTCATCTTCTTAACGAGAGACGAGTGTCTTGGTGTCCTCTTCCCCTGTATTTAGGAGAGGGTTAGCTTGCATGGGGGCGGGGATGTTGAATACTTTTAAAATTATTCTTTCTCGGTTGTAGTCGAGGGAGTCGGAACCTCTGCGCGCTCTTTCTGCCCATGGCGAGGAGAGAGGCTGATGGCGGGACAGGGATTTGGGGAGTGGGTGGGAAAGGGGTGCGCATTTGCACCTGCGGTGCCTTTCAGCGTGCGTGAAACCTTGACAGGACAGCCTAAGAGAGAGAAGGTGGCAGGATTTCTGGCGGCCGAGATATTTGTATTTTGGGCGCTGCGTGACTCTGTGTTGGCTCCCAATGGCTGTTCCCTCCCTTTCCTAAATTTTATTTTATTTTTCCCATGGTGCAAGCTCTGTGAAAAGGAAACTGCGGACTTGACCGTAGTGGACGCCAGGCTTGAGATTCCCGAGGTCCTTACGCTGGGCGAGGGGAAAGACAAACAGAGCCCCAGCCCACGTCCCTTTCATACTAGACCCGGGAGGAGAGAAGGGCACTTTGTGGCTATGTCTGGGGGACCCCGCGCGGGAAGATCGGGCGCGGGCGCGAAAGGGAGATCTTTGTGAGTGATTTTGCAAAAATAGACTGCGAGGTTGGTTGGATTTGCAACCTGTGGCTCTCCTCGAGGGAATAGGAATGGGGGAAGGCGGCGGCGGCGGCGGCCCGGGGCGGGAGCTGGTAGGGAGTCGAAGGCTCGGAAAGAAGCTGCGCGCGCGGGCAGCAGGAGCTAGGGGCCACCCCGCTGCAGGATGTACTGACCGTGGTAAATGTCTTTGGAACTGTGCGTTGCGTTGCCTTTATGATGCCATGTTATAGGAACCCTGGCGAAAAAAATAGAACTAGTGTTTCAATTATGAGTTTTAAAGCTCCCCCATGGAGAGCAAGAACACAACCGTACTGATTTAAAAAAAAAAAAAGAAAAGAAAAGAAAAACAGACCATATGTGTGTGTCCCCCTCCCCGCAATTGTTATTAATTGGAGGTGGGGATGGTGGAAGTCCTGACACTTGAGCAAGAGAAATGACCCCAAATCAGGTGCTGAGAAAGTTCTAAGCTGTGATAGGGTCCCTGACCATCTCAGAGCCACTCACTGCTCCCCCTACCCCACTAATTTAATCTTTTATGTACTTAAAAAAAATGTTTATAGTTTCCAGTAGGAAAATCTTATTGTAACGCTTTACTTTTACTTTTTTTCTTCTGTAAGTGAAGTGTCAGTACATGCGTTTTTACAGTCTAGAAAAAAAAAAGTGGGGCAGGAGAGAGGGAACCAGGGAAAGGGCTGTTTAGAAATACAGTTTGTGGCTCTGAGCGATGCCACCGGCTTCCTCTACAGAGACTGCCAGTTTCCCTTTTTCTTTGCAAGGTGTGTGTGGTTTTAATAAATAACTTAAAAAAATAAGAGGGGGCCCGGCAAGCTCCATCAGGAGACAGGTATCTATTTTGCTCACTATTTACTACCAAGAGCCTTTGGCACTGGAACAGAACCTCGTAAATCTGCAGCCCAAGTTGAAGTTCATCTGGCCCTAGTCCACACGCTATTCCTGGAGGTAGCAAACATGAGCTCAAAGGAGCGAGGTGAAATCACATTCTTGCTTTAAAATATATGCTTTTTTTTTTCTTTAAGAAGAAAAGATACTTGTTTCTGGGAGAGGAGGAAACGGAGAGAAATGCCAGGAGAAGGGCATTCCTTTGCTATAATGACTGCAGTTGAGTCTTCAGGCCAGAATAGAAACTTGTAGATGGGAAAAATACCCCCACCCCCAAGTTTATAAATAGAAGTTTCCAGTATCCTATTTGGAAGATTTTCCAATACTGAGTACCCAAGTATTGGCTAATTTTCAGGGTCTGTTGATAGCGACAGTAAAGCTATCAATGTTGTCCATAAAAACTAAGCAACTTTTAGGAGGACACAGTCAGGGCAAGTGGGAATTTTCCAACTATTCTTTTCCTCCTCTGTTCCGTTTTGAATGGTTTTACCCCTTACTTTCTTGAAAAGGATGTCCGATTTATTCTGGATTTGGTAGATAGGGCTAGGACTCTAGATTCTTAAACTGCCGTTTTGCTGAGGGCTTGAAGAGTTCCAGTTATTGGTTGAGTAAATGGTAGCCATGGCTAGATGTCAAAACCCTTCCTTCCCTCTCTTCCACTGCGGGGTAGCTACACTCACAACCCACTTTGTTGAGAAAAACTTAAAATATTCAGAGGAGGTAGTGCGGCAGCGCCACCCCCCGGTGGGTGAAACTACTGGCAAAAGTAAAATATTTGAAAAATACTGTGAAATGATTTTATGAGCCTCCCCCATTTAAAAAATTAGAAGTGATAAAACCTTTTAAAAAGAGACTTTGTAATTGAATCTCTCCAATAGAGAAGAGAAAGTTCCTTTCCTCCTAGGATGGTGTCAGAATAGGCAACATAGTTCCAGTAATTTGGGCTGGGGCGTGTGCCTGCTTGGCTGTAAGTAGAAAAGTTCTCTAGGTAGAGATAGTCTGCCTTCCCCTCTTGGTCTTCACTTCTTAGGGAATCTGAATTCTGCTCCTCGTCTGACGTTGAGAAAAGGAGGAATGTTTGGTGTATAAACCGTCGTGGCTGGAAGTACTGTAGTTTTGCCGGCGGCGGCGGCGTATGTGGGTGTGTGGTGGGGCTGGGGGCAGAGGTTTGTGGATGGCGTGGAGATAACGGCAGGCTGGTCTGTAGCCCTCTGGGAGTCAAAGCAGCATGGCGCGTGCGGTTTTCCAGCACTGCGCAACAAGTGGGACCGCAGCCTAGGCGATCCGAGCGAGGGTGCTGTGTGGTGGCAGAGCTGGCCGGTTTCTCTTCGTCCCGGAGGAAGCTAGGAACGGCTCCTCCCAACCCTCTCTGTCTTCCAGTCCGAGACCAGCAACCAGTTCCTCACAGACCCGGTTCCCCACACGCAACCCCACCCGGTTGCCAGGCGCAGTTAGCCTGGGTGGCACCCAGGTCCCCTTTCTCCGTGGGGATCAGGAGTTTATTCTCGACTTTCTTTGCTGGTCGGCCAGTGTTTGGCAAGAGCCTCTGCTAATACCATCGAGTGCCATTCTGCCTTTTGAAGACAAGTGCACTCTTTTCGTTTTTTTTTTTTTTTTCTCCTTCCCACTACATTCAGCTTTGGGGGTGGGAGAATCAACCTGTGTTACAAGAACCGCCGCTCCAGATACTGCGTGGTGGTTGCTAGATACGTGAGCATTGGAAAAAACGGAATTACATCCACTAAATTAAATGTTTTCCAGCTTTGATTTTGAAGGCAAGCACACCCCCAACCCTACCAGACGGGGGAGGGGGGAAATAGAGGGTAGGGGGTTCTGGTTTTGAAGGCTCTGGCCACCTGGGGATTCTCGGACGGACTGAGTCCGCCACCTAGTGGTGGACGTGATCGAGTTTTCCGCCTGGGGCGGTGGGCCAACTGGTTCCCAAACCTTTGGGGTCCTGACCAGCTGCTAGGGCTGCCAGAGGAAGACACCTACCTATCAATGGCGATGGCATACGACTTCCAAAGTTTTGAGAAGACAGATGAAAGTTAGAAATGCCCCAGATGCGCACCTCGTCCACGATCACCCAGAGTTGGGCTTCTAGCTCCACTAAGAGAAACCGTAAAATAACCCGCTTTGAATATAGCATCTCCCTCTCACCCTGGCCTTTCCCAGGGGAAGTCTGTAATGGACGGATACCCTCTAGGAGCTCAGGGGCTTTAGGACTGAAAACTCTTGAGGAAACAAGCCTGGTGGAGGTGGATGGGGGGATGTTTGTAGTAAGTGACCTTCATAAGGACCAGATTTTGAGCTTCTGGGTTTGAGTTAAGTGACTTAAGTTCAAAGGCGAGTTTACCTGCCCTCCTATGAAGTACGGTAGAAAGCGGAGCAGCATCCAGAGCCATGATTTTAACCTCTTGGGTCACCTTAGTTGCCTGCGAACACTGGAAAAGGTTCCCCAGAAGTCTTGGAGGATTTCGTTTAGAAAGAATGGCCTAAGATTTTCGGTAAAAGACATGAATATCTTGCAGTGGTGCTGGGAGTAGGGGGCAGTCCCAAAGCTCCGAGAGGGTGGTGGTATGTGTGTGCTAGGGAGGTGGTTACGGCCTAGACAAGGAGACTTTCAGAGGTGTGCTGGCTGCACCAGAGGCTCACTTTTGGATCTCGTCCCCTTACTTCTATCCTTTGCTTCGTGGCCCGGAACTGTGTGTGTGTGTGCGTGTGTGTGTCGGGGGTGACATGTGGACGAGCATTTCGTAGTCTTCGTAGCATTTGTGCCACAACAGCGCGTCCTTAAAGTTTTCTTTCCCAGAGCTCGTGACTTAAGATGGCAAACCTGTGTCCGCGCACTGGCGGCCCCTAGCGGCGGCTGCGCGCTCCTCCGCGGGGCAAGCCGCGGTCTCCCCCGCCCAGTCCGCTGGGATCTAGTTCAGCCTCTCCCACTGCCGGAACCGTCCGAGGCCGCGTCGGAGAAACGCGCCTCTGTTCGGGCTGGAAACGAATCTGGGAACGTGTTTGAAGCGCGGTCAAGTTTGACTCATCGTTTTCCAAGGACAGTTAGTGCCTTCCATCTTCATTAACGCGAATAAAGACCTTGGCTGACTTTTGTCCAGATCGGATTTTTAAAGGCATTGTTTGCTTGAGGAGATCACGCCTCTCTCCTCCCCCGCCGGCCTTTTTGCAAAGCCTGAGCCCAGTTCAGTCAGGATGGCCGAGGGAGCTCTGCCTAGGAACGTAGTTTGCTGGCATTGTCTGCAGGCCCTTCGTCTCCCGGGCGTATGGGGAGCGCCCCTTCGGCAGCTTCTCTTCAGATCTTGAAGATAAAATACATCCCTCTGTTTTATTGCATTTCCTAGAAGCTTGCAGGTTTGCAAGAGCGCTGTTGGCAGGAAACGTTATAGAAATGAAAGTCAGGACATCATGTCCCTGAACACCTCGGTTACCCAAAGCCGCTGCTGAGGCCATCGCATTGTCAGATTGGCTTTTTTTCTACTGTTGCCGCCCCCCACCCCCAGCAACCTTCTCTCCTCTTCGCCCCAATCAAAAGGCAAAAAGTGTTTTCCCCCAAGAACAAAAGCAACTCAGAAGATTGCCCCATCCCCTGCTGCTGGACGTCTGTGGCTAGATCCCTGCAGCTCGTTGTCTGGGACCAGTAACCCTCCCGCCGGAGCACTAGTGTGGGCTTCACTGCGGCAGCTCAAGCCTCATTAAAATTCCTTATTCTTGTCCCTAACCAGTGCTTTGCACTTTCAAATTTACCATTTGATTTTTCAGCGAGTTATTAAAGTTATTAGATTACCAATAATCCAGCGGCTGGCCTGGCTAGAGAGGATGGGGGAAGGGCAGAGGGCATTCTCCAAATCGGGAAGCTCTGGCCAAACTAGGTCAATGGGAAAGAGGGGCGGGGCGAGAAAGGGGTTATGGGTTTCAAGCCTTGATGGAGGGCTCTCTCTAGTGTCAGGCAGTGGTAAAAACACGTTTAGGTTTGAGGTCCCGGAACCACTGGACTCCCAATTTCCATTAAGTCCATTTATTTAATTTTAACTCCCAAGATTCTCACCCCCACCTCAGAAATAATTCCAGCTTCCTACTTCACCTTTATCTTACTGGGCAGAGGAATAAGCAAGCCTCAAAGGAGGATTTTGAGACCTAAGGAGCCAAGTCTTTACGAACAGACTCTGACCCCTCCGCCGCCGCAGACTGAATGCAAGGCGCAGTGTGACGCCACCGCTACTTTTAGGACTGCGGCCTTTGAAGCGGAGTCTTTTCGGGTTCCCTGTGTCCTGAAAGCGCCTTCTGCAGCCCTCTACCCAGACTAATTTGGAGATGGCGCCTAGGGATTATAATTCCCAGGGAGGCCACGGGATGGCGAGGCAATTTCGGAGTATGCCAAGGCGGGCGCTGGGGTCGGCGCCCCGGCCTCTGTAGAGTCCAAACCGTGTCTCTATGGTTTCGGGGAAATCGTTTTCGGAAATCCCTAAACCTGTCCAGGTTTGGCCTGGCAGCTCCTATTCTATCTAAATACTTTGGGCGGAAACCAAGTCGAGCTGGGTTCCCGTTCTTGCCAACGTAGGCGGAAGGGACTTTCGGTTTAGTTTTCCTCCAACTCGGCTGGGGCGTGCAGGGTGGAGACGTTAAACCCTAGGGACTCCCATCTTTTTAACTTTGACATCTTGCCTAGGCATCTCCTAAAAAGAAGTTTCGGGGGGGGGGCAAAAAAGAGGAAAAAAAGGGTAACAAACGCCGGAATTGGGCAACTTGGAGTCAGGAAATGAGTCTGGGATTGAAACCAAACTCCCGGGTTCTAGACTAGCTCTGCTACTTAACTTGTCTCATTTCCCCGTTTATAAATTGTTGTGTGCTTGGGGTTGGATTAGGTGAACTATGAGAGTCCTGGACCCGGCGCAGACGAGGGATTTAGGGGAAAGTGCGCCCTATTCCCCGCAAGCCTTCCCAGGCCGAGCCCGCCTCCCTCCTCCCCCGCCCCCCCCCGCCCCGGTGAATCCCCGGCGGCCAGCGCAGCGCGGGCAGCGATCCTGGCGGCAGTCGGGGCCCGGGCAGCTTCCTGGAAAGTTACTTCTTGTTGGAGCAGACGATAGGCAGAGAGTATTCTGTGAAATCCGCAGAGCGGAGATCGACTCCATTCCGGGAATGAGAGGGCTGTGCCATTCCCCTCCCTGCCCCCTGCTTTGACGGAGTGAAGGGGGTGGGAGTGGGGGGCACGAACACAATGTTAGCTACCGAGGTGCCCGAAAAGTTTTATTTGAATGTAAGTAAATTTAAGGCCAACACCGTCATCCCACGGCGCCTCCACCGCAACTTTTGCGGGGGGCTTCCGATCATTCCGAAGTGGGCAGTCTCTGGAAGAAGCCAGGTACAGTGTCCTGGGGCAGGCGAGTCGAGTCTGCACAGGCTTGCCCTGGAGCAGGGCTCGTATTTGTGCTGGTGTGTGAGAGATGGGGCTGCCCGGTGCCAGCCCACTGGAGGAGGGAGGAAAAGGATGGGGTCTTTTCGCATTGGCTCGCTCTCTCGCCCTTAACCCCCACC